AAGCAGGAATGGAAGCAGGGGCTTCCAAAAAGGAACAGGCAAGAGTAGGCTTTGCAATTATAGAATATCTGCTATCACCTGGAACTATATTTTTAATATACATATAGTAATGTATGAGCCTGGGGTATGGATTAAAGTTCTTTTGAGTGACTCTTCAGATGGACTGTTTCTAAGGTTTGCTGTGCAAAGCTCTTATCCATGGATGGCAAGAGCAATACATTTCAAACTCAATGGTTTTGTCCCCATTTAGGGACAAAATAAACTGAACACTCCTATTAGAATTGCAAGGAGATGCCTCCTGTTTTCCATTCTCAGTGTCCTGCTAATTGATGATGATGTGGAGCTCTTATCTCCAGGTCCCTTCCAGCTCTACAATGCTATGATTCTGTATGAGGACGACACCTTCAGCACCTCAGAAGGAAAGAGGTTTTAATAGAATTTACTCTTTTTCTTTGACAATATGTAAAAGGTAAAGGGACCCCTGACCATTAGGTCCAGTCGTGGCCGACTCTGGGGTTGCGGTGCTCATCTCACTTTATTGGCCGAGGGACCCAGCATACAGCTTCTGGGTCATGTGGCCAGCATGACTAAGCCACTCCTGGCAAACCAGAGCAGCGCACGGAAACGCTGTTTACCTTCCCGCCAGAGTGGTACCTATTTATCTACTTGCACTTGATATGCTTTTGAACTGCTAGGTTGGCAGGAGTTGGGAGCAATGGGAGCTCATCCCGCCGCAGGGATTTGAACTGCCGACCTTCCGAATGGCAAGCCCTAGGCTCTGTGGTTTACACCACAGCGCCACCCGCGTCCCTTGTGAAAGCTTAAGTGTTATTAATTTTAGGGACACTTACTGCTGAGTGAACATGCTTAGGATCACAGCTGCACATGTGGTTTTTTGAATGAGAGAAAGAAAGAGATAACAATGTGTAAACGGCCTGCTAATAGCTTGAAAACCAGCAGGAGGCTGGTAAAAGCTTCTTAGAGGGATTTCTGTTAATTGACATTTGCTGTGAATTAGTAGTACTGAATAACAGTTCATTTGGAATTTATGTTCCTTTATTGGTTCACAAGTGTTGAGCAGTAAAAGCCCATGGGTGGGTCATCTATCTGTAAGCAGTGGGAATTACCGGTAGTTACACAGAACACTTTTCTGGATTCTCTGCTCTGAAATAAGCAGACTTACTATTGCTCTGCTTTCAACAGCTGGCCATTGCAAAGCAGAGGGGGAACTAATGGTTTGCAGGGCTGGCTTTATGCTTTTGAATACTGCAGATTACATTATTAAGCAGAGCCAGCCTCATTTAGATGTAGCACCATTCCCCACCAGGGTAATAGAATGAATCATCGTATGTTCACCCAAAGTGCCTACAGAGATTCCCCATGTTTGGAGAAGGAGAAACAGAACATGCATTTCTCGATAAATGCTTATTGGTCACTTTCTGACCCAGCAAACACGTAACCCCAAGCCAAGGCTTTGCACAAAAAGAGCAAACTTGTGGGTTCCTAGAGAGAAAATCCTGGCTGTTCTTCCTCCTTTCTGGCTGCTGCCATGCAGTGGTGTTGTGTGGGCTGCTGGCACCCAGGGTGGGGCAAGTGTTGCATGTCCCCCCCCCCCCGTGAACTGAGCAGCTGGGGTGGAGGCGCATGCTGGGGGGGGCATTTCCCCCTCGGGGTGCTTTCCCACTGTCCTCTTCCTCTCTCCTCAGTGGGCGGTGATGGCACCCTCCCCCCTCGGCCGGGCTGGGCTGTACATGGGTGGCAGTGGTGAGCCACCAGGGTGGCAGGCACCCGCGCTGGGAGAGTTGGGGGCTGCCCTTGCACACCCTGCTGTTGTCTGCCGGCCATGGCCCCCTGCTGTTGGCAGAGCCAGTGCCAGGAGCGCCAAGTGGAGGCGCCACTGCTCCGCCCACAGCAATCCCAGCTTGGCTTCCTCCGCAGCCTCCTCCTCCCTGACCTCGGTCTCAGCCGCTGCTCCCATGCTGGGTAAGAGATTCCTGCACTGCACAGATTATCCTTGTGGTCCCGTCCAACTCTACAGTTCTGTGATTCTGAAAGCCAAAACAAACACTGAAAATAAGTAACTAAAAATGAAAAAAGGTGGGCAAGTGTTTTTAGCCATGTATTGCAGGTGATTACACCCTAAATGTAAAGGGTCATTTCTAGCCACCATGAAAAAGCAGTGGCACAGACACCTTTTCGCCTTTTTCTAAGGAAGGACCCCCTTTCACAAAGTAAGGCAGAGAGGAGGGGGAGACAAATAGTGTGTCCAAACGAAACTCTTGAAAGGAGAAGAGGAAGAGCAGTGGTTCTGGTCACCTCAGGTAGTATCCTGTCTTGTGCCAACTGTGATGTAAGGGTGAAAAATTAGACACAGATTCTCAGAGCTTCCTAGCACATAGTGAAAGCAGTTGTGAGGAAGAGAGCAGGATCCATTATGCATTTTTGTCTTCATTCATGTTTCAGGAAGGTATCAGGTAACAAGAATCTTGATTACACAAAAAATTCCTTTTCCATTTTTCTGTGTCCAAATTGTTTATTTCCAGGTCTTGCATGAAATAGGCATTTAAACTGAGATCTTTAAATATTCCTAAGGTTGCCAACTTTTTTTACTGGGCCCTGCACCTGTGTAGATATTGGCAGGTGAAAATGTTCACCAGTGCTTTACCTCTTGATTTCCATAGTTCAAGCAGCTGTTAAGCGCAGAGCAGTTCAGGTTCCTTTTTTCTGATTAACTGGCAACTTAAATGCCCTTGTGGCATTTACCTCTCATATGATGCTCTCCTGGCTCTTTTATTAAACAGGACTGATATTTATTCCCATCTGCCCTAGTGTTTCTGTTTGCAGTAACAATGTTTGGGCTTAGGTGGATAAAACTACAAATTATCTGGTAACATTTATATCCCACCCTAGCCTATGGACTCAGCGTAGCTTGCTGCAATTTCGCTTCGTTTTATATTAACCTGCCCCTAAGCAAAGGCTGCTGGCTCCCAGCGTTGACACCAGAAACTGCTGCTTGCGTCATTCTGCTCCTAGGAGATGCTATTCAGAGGACGCGTCTTTGCCGTATCCTCAGAACAAATGCTTTTCACATTTGCTAGGTTCGCTTCAGGCACTAATTGAGGCCTGTTTGGTCATATGGTGCCACAGACAAAAATCCGGGCTCTCCTCCTCTACCATAGTAACGTAGCCTTGATTAGCAATTTGTTTTCTCTCAGCCAGGTTGATACAGGCAAGAATGTGACTCGTCCTGCAACAGGTATTACTTCCCTTAGAAACATGGCTTTTTATGTTCTAGGGGAAACCCTGAAGTTCCTCAGAAGCTTGCATAAGGGTTAAATGAGAAAACTGATAATGCTAGGAAACTTTTCAGAAAGACAGATTATTCAGCACGCTTACACTCCCTGTCCTGCCTTATGGAGATACAGGGGTTTGGGGTTCCTTCCTGGGCACATTCTCAGTTTATACAGGACAATGGTGATACCCTGAGCCCCACATGATCTGAATTTGCTAGAGTCCCAGGGTAAGAACCTGGGGGTTCCACAGCAGATGACACGACTTTCTGAAGACTGCATGTCTGAAAAGCACCCCTAGAGTGTACCATCTTCTGCTCTGATCCCCCTTACACTTTTTTAAATTTTGCCTTAACATCTGGCCTGAAGCAATTTTCTAACGAACGAAAAAGCTTCCAGGCTACTTTGTGATATTTCATTGCTCCTAAAAAGAAAACAAAAGAAAAAGCTACCACTTTTTCTGCATTAACTTTTAATGGGGGATCAGAGTTTGTAAGGAGTTCTGTGCAAACTACAGTATTACTACAACTTATTTGATTACCATCCCACTTTTCAACAAGAATCATCCAAGCAGCTGACATTTTTTAAAAAAAAGAATCAAATAGATTCACCAAAACAAATGACACCAGCCACGTGGAAGCGGAAGATAGTCCTGTAACCTGGTAAGGGAAGGTGGTAAAGAGAGAACAATTAAGCTCAGAGTAGGGGCAGCCTCAGATGCCTTCTTTGTCTGCCCCCCTGAGTCTCCTGCTCCTTCTGACAGGGTGCTTGTGATTTGAGAAGAAGGTGGGCTTCTCCCTGCCCTTCTTTAACTTGAACACCTAGGCCATGACATACAAAGCCGTATAAGGATGCCAATATAATACCATCCAAACTTAGAGTGCAAGGACAGGGAGGTGCCAACTTCAGGTACCCACTCAGCCATGAAACTCAGTCACTCTTTGTCAGGCAAACCTTGTTCAGAAGACTGTTGCAAGAATATAATGGGAGTATGCCAGCGGTGGCCCTCCAGGTGTTGCTAAACTACAACTCCCATCAGCGCCAGCCAGCATGGCCAGTGGACAAAGAGGAAGAGGAAGAGAGTTGTAGTTCAGCCATCTTGAGGGTCACAGGTTCTCTCCCCCCGCTATATATGCTGCCTTGAGCTCCTTGGAGGAAATGGGGGGGGGAATATACAGCAAGGGAAACAAGTCTTGAAAACAAAAGTTCTATGCTGTAAATGTAAGGCTTCTAAAATGGGGTTTATCCTGGTGATTTAGTAAAAAAAAATTAAAAAACATTCTTTTAAAAGGAATGACTTCATCTGAAATATTTACCATTAATCTTTTTTTAAAAAAAACAACAACCCCAGGGTAATATTAGGGGGAGGGGGAAGAGAATGACACCCCATGTCAGGGCTTGCTATGACACTGTAAAGTGTCTGGAACCATTGTTGTTGTAATTAAGTGAACAAAGAGCTTATCATTTTTTCAAAACCCACATGGAAACTCACGTCCTGTCTTCCTGTTTCAGTTGGCCTCCATATTGTTTCTTTGGCAAGTACATTTATAATTAACTTTGCAAACCAGGCCATAAAACAGGCAGTATAATTTATGTATATCTGTCTGTCTATCCATCCATCCATCTGAAGTGTGACATCATGTCTTATGAGAACTGTTTTCAAGGAAGTAATCAGATGTAGCCTAATTCTAAGGGACACAAGGAAAGCAAATGCTACCCAATGGCCATTGGAATGCACTGGTTCCCTCAGAATTTTACTAAGTTCTTTAACACAAACCATCTGCCCTGGCTCCATTGCTTTCAAATTTTCAAGTGAAGATGCCCAGAACTTCAGCCAATGCAATGGAATCTCTCTGTGCCTGCCCCGGGCAGAGGTAGCCCACGCTACGCCACTGAATCCCATGGTGCTTTGACTGTAGCCTTTCTCTCTCTCTCCAGTGCTCTTTTGCCTAGGAGAGGATTCTATGAAACAGCAAATTTCGACGCACACCTGCTTGGGAACGAGTCTGCGACCAGAGGCCACCGGAAAGCCCAACATGAGTTCGGTGGGACTTACTACCTAGCAGAAGCAATGCTTGCTAGTAGACGGCGCGTCCCATTGAAGGCAGTGGGGCTTGCTCGCGAGTAAACGGGCTGGGAGTCGCAGCCCGATCCTGCCCGCGCTTCCTCAGCAACGGATCGCGCGGGGTTCCGCCGGGAGGATCCCCCCCCCCGTGACGCCGCCCGCTGCTTGAGTTCAGCTCCTTCCGACCTCGCCCCGCCGACCCCTGCCGGGGAGGAGCTGCTCGTGCCTCGCCAGCCCTGCGCAGGGCGCGCGGCTGCGCCCCCTCCGCCGCTTCTTAAGCGCGCCGGCGGGGTCGACCTGCGAGCAGGCGCCAGCGAGCCCGCCCGCCTGCCTGCTCTTCGCCGCCGCCGCCGCCCTCCTCCCTCCCTCCCTCCCTCCCCGGAGCCCAGCCCGGCGGAGGAGCGGGCAAGAAGCGCAGCCTTCGCCCGGCCAGGATGCGGGGCGCTCCCTGATCCGCGCCCCGGGAAGGCGGCAAGCCAGGAAGGAGGGCGCCCGGCGCTGCCCCGGGCGATGGCGCTCTCGGCTCCAGCCCTTTCCCCGCGGGGACCCGCTCGCCTGGCAGGTGAGTGAGGCGCCCCTTCGCGACCCCGGCTCCCTCTTCCCTTCCTCCCCGTCCCCGAGGCACCGGGAAGCTGCTCTCCGGAGCTCGCTTCCGAGCGAAAGGAGCCGATCGAGTCGCTTCTCCAAAGGGGGCTCCGCTCTCCGGAGCCTCGGCGCTGCCCAGCCACGCGGCCAACTTCGGGCGCTGCCGTCCCACCCTCGGGCGCAGAGGGTGCCGCGCGGTGACCGAGCTGCTCCGGGCGCCGGGGGCTCCGATACCCGCTCTTCCCAGGCAGCCCTCTTCCTCCGAAGCTAGCGATCGTGGACATACCTTTTACTTCTCGGTGCACCTGGGCGGGTTTACTCGGATGTAAAGTCTGGCTTGAGACCCGAATGGACACGCTCCGGGGCAAGCGCGCAGAGCGCTGCCGCCTCCTCCGAGGAAGCCTATTGACCTCGATGGGACTCGCTTCCAAGGAAGGATCAGGCTGGGAACAAGTCCGTTATTCCTGTAACGCCGGTATCGCGGGGGGGGGGGGGGCTTCCAAGCGTCACCTGTTCAGGTGCGCGGTAATCCAATGCAAACGTTCCCCAAACGGGCGCCCACGGCGCGGTTCTGGTTTTGCGTGGCTCTACGGCCCTTGACCACGCTCCGGTTCCCGGTGAGTTTGCTGCTTTGGTTGGCAAACGGAAGCAACTGAATCCAACTTAACTCCGCGCAAGGAAGGCTTGCCTCTTTCTGGCCTCCGGTTCTGGATCGCTCGCGCGTCTGTTTTTTAAAACCACAAGAACACACCAAGCAAGCGCGCGCCCCGGGCGCAGGGAGATCCTCGGCGCAGCTCCCGGGCGTTCCTATGCGTGCGCCAGCCCTCGCTGGGGAGACGGGGCTTCGGGTTTCCGAGGGCGGGAAGCGAGCGCCCCAGGCCCCACCCGAAGCAGGTTGCACCCGAGAGGAGCGCGGGATCCCCCTCGAGACCAGGCCGGCTCCGGTCCCCCCGTCCAGGATCGGGGAGGTTCCGTGGGCCGCTTAGCGCTTGCGCGGCTTCGCTTCGATGCTGTTCGACGCGAGGGCGAAGTTTCGCTGGCCAGAAGGCGGCCCACTCGGGGGGGGGGGCACAAGGCGCGCAGCTGGACTAGCGGGCGAAAAGGGAGGCAGCCTCTTTGGAAACTGGGCTGGCCCCTAAGGCAGGGCCTGCCTGCCCATTAGGTAAGGTGGAACAACTGCTTCAGGAGGCAGGATCCACAGGGCCAGAGGATCACCATGTAGATCTTTATTTTATGCTTGTTCCTGATGTAGATCTTCAGTCACCCCTTCTTCCCTGGCAGGGAGGGTGGTGCCGTTTTGGGTTCCACCTCGGGTACCAAAATGTCTTGGGACAGCCCAGTCCTTAGTCAGAAATTTTGTTTGGGCAGGCAGTTTGTGGGGCAGGGTACAACAGCCTGAACCCAGACACAAGCAGCAGTCATCCTCCCCTGTGGCCTCCCGGATGGCTTGTCCTACAACTCCCATCAGCCCCAGTCAGCTGGGGCCACAGGGGGAGGAAAGGTGGGCATTGGGTGCTGAAGTTATTTGAATTGTGCGAACAGTGGCGTAGCGTGGGTTGTCAGCACCCGGGGCAAGCCAAGTAATTTGCGCCCCCTAAACCCGTGGATTTGCGCCCCCTAACCCGTGGATTTGCGCCCCCTAACCTGTGGATTTGCCCTAACCCCAGATGTTGCGCCCGGTGCGGCCGGCCCCCCCTGCACCCCCCACGCTACGCCACTGTGTGCGAAACATCTGTGCATCTTGAATGCGCTTCAAAGTAAAGATTGGAAATAAAGGTTCACAGTGCAACTGAGGAAGGGAGGAGGATTTGGGGGTCACGGCTGCAAATGGTAAGGTTTGTCTTTGTGCCTTTGTGCTCATTGGTTCACCTCTTAGCTGGGCAGTTGGATAACACCCTGCCTGCCTTTCCTTTGAAGTATAAAGGCTAGGAAGGATCCTGGGAGCTCGGGCGCTGTCGCCTTCTGCCAGGGTAATATCAGGTAGATGGGGCTTTGCCAGCCTGGTACCCTGCAGGTGTTTCAGACCTCACAAATGTGGGAGCTGAGACTGGTAGAAGCTGTAGTCCAAATTATGCCAGGGTTGGTGAGGGCTGGAGGAAATGATGTTTTTACAGTGAGGTGGTGCTGTGATGTTTTGGAAGCCAGATCAACCTCTTGGTTTTCCTGATCCCTAGTTGACATCAATATAACTCTCCATTATATATATGCACTGGCTTCTCTCTGTTTATAAAATAATACAACACTTCTGAGAGAGATGGCTGGGGTGTTTTGTTTGTTGTTTAATCCCAGTCAAACAATTTCCCCGGTTTGTTGAGTAGAAAGATCCTGGAACATTTTATTTTAATCATTTCATGTATTTGTTTTCTCTAAGAGAGCACCTCTGGCTTCCGGGGGAAGTGGTGGTGGAGAGGTGGAAGAGAAACAATATATAAGAGATGGGAAAAGGAGCTCAAACAGTAGACGAGATGGGGGAGATCCAGATTCAGCACCCTGGCATCATAAATCCCTTAAATATTCCCTTCCATGGCTAATAGGGTTTTTGTGGGGGGACGACTTGGATCAGGGCAGTGTTGTATAGGGGAGGGTGTACCCCTTTCCTATGCACTGCAGCTCTGACACAAATGGTCCTGACCTCACAGGACTCCCCCCAGCCAAGGAAAAAGATTCTTCTAAGGTGCCACATCACATCTAATTGGATTCACAGCTGTATGGGGAGGTGAGTCATATATGAGAGCTGGAAGATGGGTAACCTTCACTCTCAGTGGAGAAGGTTAGGCTGAAATATCATGGCTACCCAGACTGCCTTCCAAAATACGATGATCATGAAGTAAGCTACACTGAACATAGTGAGACTTGAGTCAGATTAAACCTGCCTAGGATTGTATTTCTGTTCATGCTTCCGACTCAGCGGGTTTTTGAAGATTCCAAGTCCAGGATTCTCTCTACCTGATGGCTGCCATGCTGTGGTCCTCTAGCCAGCTTTCTTAACTGGGATATTGCTACCAGATACCAGTCTCTTTCTCCCTCCTGGAGGACTCTGTGGAATATACCTCACTTAACCTTGCAGACTGCAGTGCATTCAAAACTGAGACAGCAAATTTGCTGGCTCATTGTTGGAGGTAAAATTTCTTGGTGGCTTCACCTGATGGCCAGTTTCAATAAGACTTGGATTTGAAAATGCTTTGATTTCAGTGTTTATGGAACCAGATCTGTCTTTGTTGTTGCCTCTGATTAGATTTGGTGGAGGTTTTTGTTTGTGAGTTGTGAGGGCTACACTATTTGATTAGAGTAGGGATACGGAGAGTTCAACCCTTGTTTCCATGCCTTGACCGCAATCTACCTTCAAGCTCCTGTTAATTCTGCTGCATAAAACAGCGTGTTTTCTACTGTGAGGCTAATAGTAACTTCAGTGGGATGATTGAAAAGTGTGGCAGAAGAATTGAACATCTGATAAAAGATAGTTTTTCTCCACCTGTTTCTTCCTCCAGGGCATTGCTTCCAGATCTGCCTATTGAGCATTTATTCTGATGTGTTTGCAGCAAGGTTATACAGTGTTGTATCAAACAATTGCTATACCACACTTTCCAGAGGATTTCCCTTTGCTTTCCTTACTGCAAAAAATTCCTGTCCCTTTTTAGAAGTAGGTTTGTTGTGCAAGAGTGAACAAATCTACTTTAATTACACAACCTCAATATGATTGCATCCCACTTGCAAACTGGCAACAATCTGGAAGTGGCCTAAGTTTAAAACAGGGAAGAAAATGTCAAGGAGAACAGAGTACAGTATGTATTTCGCCACATTTTGTCTGTTTTGGTCCTAAAACAGATTTTGGCAGCATTGCCACAATCAGAAATAGACAAGGAGTGTTTCTTTTCTCTTCTTCTGTTAGAAAGAACCACTGACTAGAAAACAAGGCACTAGAGAAGATTTGTTCTGTATTTCTGGACATCGGTTTTTCAGCTGTCCTAGGAAACTTCTGGTGTCAGCTTACCTGCCTCATTCTTGGGTGTGGGGAGAGCATGCAGCTGAAGAAACTAAAAAAGAGGGAAGTGAGCCAGGTATGTCGCTGTATTATTATTATTATTATTATTATTATTATTATTATTATTCTAGGGGAAAGGTTAGCATGCTTGTTTGCAATGTTTAAAACATTTTTTTTGACTGCTCCTTGTACATTTATGTTATGAGTCAATGTTTGCCGTTTTTAATCACTGGTTTCTGGGAGAGCTCATTAGTGGAAACTTGTTTCCATGACAATGTGACCCCTAAGATTGTTCTGGTTATCATTCTGGCTAGGCTCAGTATTCAGAGTTGCACAGAAGAATGGGGGACCATTATTATCCTGCTTAAAAGCAAATGTCCCTTCCTGTCCCTCTGACACACCTCCTGTGTAGCTTTTTTCCTTCCATCTGTGTAGAGAGAAGAAAGGTGAGGGTGAGCTTGCCAGCACTGTGCATACATTTCAATCTGTGTGGGTGAAATGAAGATGCGTTTGGCTGTTTAGTGATCTTGCACAAAGTTGAGAAGAGAGATTAAAAAACTTATTGTCCGTTTGCCATTTGCTCTGGTGTGCACCTTGGAGTAGGGATGGTGAAAGTGAAGGGGTGGACTAGGACACCTATGAATTTGCACCTGAGTCTACCTGGAGGGCACTGTGGGGCACTATTTGGGCTAGGCAGGGTGGGGAAAGGTCTTCTCCAGCACTAGCAGAAAGGAGAGGGGGACATCAGATAATTGGGCAAAACATCACTTATAGATGGTGGCAATGCAGGTTAATTGAATTGGGCATGGGGAGACCCGAATGCTATTAAAGCATTTAAATGGACACCTTTGATTTTTGCCCAACTTTGCAGTGTGTATCTGAAGAATTGTGCATGCACATGAAAGCTCATACCAATAACAAACTTAGTTGGTCTCTAAGGTGCTACTGGAAGGAATTTTTTTTATTTTGAAGTTGAATGACAGAGTGAATTTGTGAGTTGAGCTACAGAGTGGATGTGTGGAACAGGGTGGATTTGCAGCCAAGGAAAAGAACACATTTGCTTGTATCTCTCAATTCCTGGTTGGGATTCAGACAAGCATCTTCTCTCAGTGTCCATTCTGACATGGAAGGCCTAGTTAGAATAGGCTCTAGATTCTCAGCAGAAAAACTTATTTATTTGTTTTGTTTCTATTTCCCTTTCCTCCAAAGCAGCCCAAGTAGCACACATGATTTCTCTCCCACCCTGCTTCCCCATTTCACCCTAGCACCAAGACTGTGAGGTGGGTTAGGCTGAGAGAAGGCGACTGACCCAAGATTACCCATTGAACTTTGTGGCTGAGTAGGTCCCATGTTCTTCCAGGTCCTAGTCTGACATCCTTACCACTACACCACACTGGCTTAAGAATAGCCTTGCTGGATCAGCCAAGATTAATCTTTCCAGCAGAGGTCAGCCACCTGCCTCTGGAAGGCCACCAGCAGCTCATGAAGAGGGATGGCCATTGCCTGCAGTTGGCTTTTAGGCTTAAAATGAAATGGGGTTCTGTTTAGTTATCATGACTGGCAGCTTATCTTCAGTGATCCTTCCTTCGGTGTTCTGTACAACACCTAGGGTATCACTGACAGCTAAATGTATAATGAGGTAGAAATTAGGGTTGCCTTTTCCTTTCCTGATGTTGCTGGCTTTATCATAGAAGCTTGATGCACATGCATTGTAGAGTTTCCTCTACAAATCTCTCTGCCAGGAAAAGCTTTACACATTTGATTTTGATATCACGCTGATGTTAAACACGGAGGAGGAGGAGGAGGAGGAGGAAAATGTAGTAACCCAATGTACTTAAGTGTAAAAACCATTCATGTCCAGTCCGGTTCTACAAGGGGGTGGGACTAAGTCTGCTCCATCCCATTTCCATGTGGATCCAGTGTTTACATGGAGGCAGCTGTGTTTTTGCGGTACGGTTTCCTCTGACAGTTGCAGAACATCGCCAAGTCCCATTGCTTCTGGGGTGACTTGCTCCTCTGCTCTGTTCAAAACACATGGCTTCAAGAAACCACCTGGGTAGCTAGAAGACTTCCCTGGAGATTTTTAAAAGGAAATTTAGAAACAAAAGTGCAGCCCTGAGACTCCATCATAAGGAAATCCACTTGACTGTGGATTCAGAACTCCTATCCGATCCTGGTCATGATCTGCCCAGATAGGATCAGTTGGGTCTACATTAAAGTATGCGGTATTCCTTCCTCATCCCTATTAATAAATGAGACCAGTGTGCCTTGGGTTTGAAAATTACTCTTCCAGTAAACTCAAGTTCATGCAAACATGCAGTGAAGGCAATATTTCAGTTCTCGGGGTGAACTGTGAGGCTTGAATTCTGCAACATGGCTTACCAAACCACAGTGGAGAGTTCAGAATGGGACTGAGTGGATACATAGTGAACTGAGATTGGTGTACTTGGCAACTCATTTCTAGCACTTTCACGTGCAATTCTCTTTTGGACAACTTGAGTCTGTGACTATAGTTGCAATAATCGGAGGACTGATGCAAGTTAAACCAAACATCCATCTAAGTTCAAAAAAGTTCCTTGCTGCTGAACAGATTTCATAGCTTACCTGCCCACACACCTTTGTTGTTGATGGTGTATTGTGGCTCTGAAGACACACCCCCCCCATCCCACCCATTTCTCTTCTGGTAAATGGCCTGATTCAGATGTAACATTATACCATGGTTTTCTTTCGTTTATTTAAAAAATCTTCATTCATAAATGATTTAGCAGTATATGCAGACCTGGCCCAGCATCTTTCTTGGAAAAATAAGCCATGGTTTTTTGTTGTCTTTCTGATCTTAGCCATGCTGTAGTTTCATGTGTGAACCTGGACTATGAAAGTTTCATTGCCTTATTGCGGGAAGGGATTATGGCATGACATAGGTGAGTCTCATGCAAACTCTACCTTGGCTTGTATTTAAAATCATTTTTAAAAAGTACTCCCTTCTGCTTTTGGTCATGCATGTTCATAGAACATTCATACATTTGCAAGTGATCTGTGAAAATGCTCTTAGACAACCACTTTGCATGAATATAAAATGTTTGTGGTTTGTCCGGCAGTCAACCTCTTTCCACTCCAAAACAGTCTAAGTTTATTGTTCTTGAGCGGCTTGAGAGTTGCAGGCTTTAGTGAAGCTTTAAGTAATGGCACTGAAGAAAATATATCTTTTGGATTTCTAAATGGAACAAATTTGCTAATGAAATCATTAGACAAGTGAGCATAAAGGCTTGTTGTTTGCACAGAATTACTTTTCAGAACATAATTGCATTCCAATATAAAAGCAATTAAAATGTTAATTTACATTACAAAAGATATTTGGCTTTCAGGTAGGAGCAAAAGAAAAATCTTCCTTCTTGCAAAGCCTGGAAGAAAAGTGCTTTAAATCCTGCTACTATGGTGTGTCTGTGTGTGTTTAGCGGGGGAGGGGATTGTTGGTTGGCCATGCCACCTCATTCATTTGTACACCTTTCTGTTATGTGATGTCCCCACCTTAAGCCCCAGGTGTGCTTTGGTCAGCTGGCAGGAAAGTTTCATTAGCTAATTAAGTAGTGAGTGAAGCCCTGGGCATGGCCAGGGGCCAGAGGGATAGGCAATAAATTAACACCTAGAGCCTGTGAACATCTCAGCTGGATTTTCCTGGGAAAATGTATGCTAATTAAGGAAAGATTTGATGTGGAATTTAGGCATAGCATCTCTTTCTCTAGCTCTTTCTGTGTTTTCGCAGCAGCCTGCAAGAGAGAAGGCATGATGTACACAACTGACAAAGTCTTGTCCTCCAAAGTACTCTAGGAATCTGGAGTTCATTAGGACCCAAAGACTCTTCTCCATCAGGAGCACTACTCTTTTACAAATGTCCACTTGAATAATTTTAGGGATGAAAGAAACCCATATTATGTAACAAATGTAATCTAAAAATGGTTTACAAATGACACACACACAGAGCAAAGGCTGCAATCCTAACCCCACTTACGCAAGAGTAAGTGCCATTGAATTCTGCCTTCTAAGTAGACATGTTTAGGATTGCCCTGTACATTCTAGTTTAGGTTGCAATCGTATGCACATTTACCTGGGAGTAAAAACTACTGCAAATAGAAGGACCAACTTCTGGATGTACTGTAAATGCTTTGAATGTTCTTGTTAATACTATTTTTTTTCTTCGAAGTTTGTTCCATTCTATAGGTTTCTTGCTGTTTAGAATCACAGTGATTTGAGGTGTGGAGGTTGTTGTTTTTTAAAGTTCTTTCACTGAAATTATTCAGATGCATATATAGAATTTCATTTTTCATAGTGCTCCATTCTTCCCTAAAAAGATGCTGGGCCAAATAAAACACACATTTCATGTGCACCTGGCTTAGAAGCTGCTTCTTTCAATATTTCCTTAATAGCACCCTTGGCATATAGACATTTTTAGGTGAATATTATAGGGACATGGGTGGCACTGTGGTCTAAACCACTGAGCCTTGGGCTTGCCGATCAAAAGATCGGCAGTTCGAATCCCTGCGACCGGGTGAGCTCCCGTTGTTCAGTCCAAGCTCCTGCCAACCTAGCAGTTCGAAAGCAAACAGTGCAAGTAGATAAGTAGGTACTGCTCCAGCGGGAAGGTAAATGGCGTTTCCGTGCGCTGCTCTGGTTTCACCAGAAGCGGCTTAGTCCTGCTGGCCACATGACCCAGAAAAACTGTCTGTGGAGCAGACAAACGCCATCTCCCTTGGCCAGTAAAGCGAGATGAGCACCACAACCCCGGAGTCGTTTGCGACTGGACTTAACTGTCAGGGGTTTCTTTACCTTTCCCATTATGTGTCACATCAGGAGCTTTTGCTGGTTTTGTATAAGTCTTCTGCAAAGAATAGGAAGGGGCCAGTAAAATAGGTGCCACAATGCAAACACAGTCTCTAAGGCAGACTTTCCAAACTGTGTTCCATTCAGATTTTCTGCAGTGAGCCTCTCATTTATGGCAGGAGATGGCATATCTAAATATTTCTGTTTCCAGTGTGGTGTAATTTTTTTTTTTAAAAAAAACTTGTGTTATAAACTAGC